GCAAGTAAGCATTGACAGTTGCTATTAGTTTAACAGTTTATGAGAATGCTGGATAGCGTATTTATCCACACATTTACAGTATACAGCATCATATGTGTTTGACAAGAACAAACTTAGTCTGTGTCTTTAAATAACTCTAATACAACCATTTAGTCACACAGCACAACCCAAAAATAAAACAGTCCTATTAGCCATTTAATGTTGTGAGATAGTATAAAAGACTTGTTCAGATAGTGGCGAGTCAGTTATTAAGTAGTTCAATTAGTTATTTTTAATATAATAATATAATTTAAGATGTTCAGAGGATTTTTTTTTTTTTAATCAAATGAATTATTCTCATCAGATCTCATCAAAAATCCACAAATAGTGGATCCTTCATGGTATAAAGTTCTTAACACTGATTATCGCTTCTTGGCAAACTTGAAAAGTCTCTCATGCTCAAGAGGTTCTAGAAAATATGGCCAAATCCCTGTTCTTATACTCCTCCATCCATTCACTATCACTCATGCATTATAGTATAAGTAGGTTTGAGAGAGCACTAGTGGGAGTCAGTGCTACTCAGTACTCACATGTGAACTCAAAAATGTGAGCAGGGCTGAAAGAAACTTATATGAGCTATGAAAGAGCTGAAACCTGGTTTATTCAATGGGAGAACTGATTCCAGCTGCTTTAACACCAAACGTGTTATTCAATCACCGATGCTGCTCTGGTTAGAGGTAAGGTGGAAAAGAAGTAAGATAGGTAGTTGTACAGTCCAGGTCCATTCTTTCTTTTAAACTGAGATTAAATTATCCCTCACAGGCACCATGATTGACCAAACTAAATATAAAGCTCATGAAAAATAATAATTTCCTGAACCTGTCCTGAACCATTAACAAAAAATGAGTCTGACTATGTCTAAGTTTGCTGGTTGATGTATTTCTGCTTTGAAAGGAAATATGACGCAACACGGTATGCAATGTGAGCCTCTGTTGTAGCTTTCTGAAAGTGTATAATCAGAGAATTTGCTCCTTGTGCATGTGTTAAAGAACAATTTTTCACTTTTCAAATTCATTATGTGATCTGACTGGAGAGCAGCATTTAAAACACACACCTCATATGACTCGTCTCCCAGTGCCAACAGAAAAGATTAGTGATACACTACAAAGCAAGGTTCCATAAGATGATGCAAGACCACAGTCATCCTCAATGAACCAAGACGGATGCATGCCAGATCTGTTTTACAAAAAGAAGGGCATTGTGTGAGAGTGTAGAGAGAGAGCTTGGTTATCAGGGTTCATACAGATTTTAACAATAACTTTCCAAACCATGTAGCAAAACATTTTGAGACCATTATTTTCTGAAATGTCCATGAGAACATGAAGAATACAAATCATCATTGAAATTAAACAAAATAAGTTTATGTTAAGCAATACAGTTTGATATGGGGAAAAAAAGCATATGACAAATGTGGTGTCAGCAAAGCTTTGACGGAAGCATTAAAATGTACAAACTAATTATCTTATGGCGTGTTTCTACCAGAAGAGAGCCATACCTATTTCAACCAATATAAATAATACCATTTATATTTCCCATCTCTAAAAGTGTTTCATAAATCCACTTTTCAATCTCCAAAAAGATTCTTTCTTTTCTTTTCCAGTGTGGGGAATGTAGTGATGGAGGTCAGTTTGCCCGCAGCTTCTGATTTCTAAGCGTATTCATCCAACGAGTTCTCAAGGGCGTAAATGTCAGTCTCCATCCTAGCCTTCTGCTATTTCAAATTATACAGCTCATCTGTTGAGGCCTTTCTCTACATGTCAACAACTTGCTGTTCGTTCTTTCTCTTCCTATCACCCAGGTAGCAACGGCTCCTGTATTTTGCAACTAAATCTAGCAGCTTTTTGGTGATGCCTACCCTGGTCTTGCCCCCAACAGACCTGACATAGTCAACAAGGAGTCTCTGAGCAACGAGACCTTTCTTCTTGGCTTTCTCCAGTCATTACTTCTTTTATAGAAAATCTTCCTATAAAACTGGCCTGACCATGAGAAAGCACAAGTAGTAATCTTCACCATGGCCCACACTCTGGAAAATCATATTTGGCCTGCTTTGTCACATTCCCTGAATTTGTCCTTTGAAGAAGCCGATGTACAAAGATCCCTGAACTCGAGAATGATTACACACTGCCCCATTTGCACGTTTGGCTTCAAAAAGTATGTGCAACATTTTTTAATTAGAGGTACCGGTAATCATAGTGAATATTCAGCCATGGATCTGTGATTGAAGTACTGCATGCTTCTCACTAATGGGAGACGCACTTGCTCCTTCTCAGCAACATCTCAAGTAGTGTGATCAAGAGTATCTTGCAGACAAGCTTCATCTTCACTGTCTGGCTCTCGGAAATGTTTTGTGGATGACCTGAGTTGGATAAAGGTGGCTTCAGCTGGAAGATATCAATTTAAGAACTTGCTAACACAGACTCTTATCCTAAAAAATACAAAATTGTGACTGTGGCCTCTCCCATGTAGTAATCCTTCAGAAATTGTCCCATAAGTGGAACAAAGAGACAATCAGCACAATGTATCTTTATAGAGGTTTATCCATAGTGTTTCATGTGCAGGTAGACTAGTAATCTACACTCTACCATCATCAATCCATGAGTTTCTGCAAAACTAAAGCATGCAATGATGCATCCAGTTGCTATCATCCATGAAGTATTTCAAAATCTCCATTGGTGCAGACTCTAATTCAAAAATTTTTAAAAGTTCATGATCTAATCTCTGATATCAGGTTCTTTTCATTATCTCAACATTATCCAGCCATAACAAATGGCCTTGTTGCCCTTGAGCATTGCTGCCCTATGGACTCTTGTGTCTCTTTATCTGTTTTGGCCTACTGTATAGTGTGTTGGACTTTCATCAGATAAAAGGACATATGCCTAAATGTATGAGTACTTACGTTCACTGCAGTGAGAATCTGTATGCCATCTGGCTTCAGGGGAAAATTACTTGAAACAGCTGGCTCGTATAGTAACACTACCTGTGGTAGGACTACAGCAGTTAGCAAACTCAAGTGCTTACACTTCAAGCGCTAAAGGGATGTTCAATAACAAAGAGGATTGAAAAGAGGAGACTTGCAACAATAAAAGGTTTTATCAAACCATCTTAATTCAACAAAATATGGTGTATTGTGAAACCTATTTATTTATATATTTTACCTGTGTTTTTGGTCTTGAGAATGAATTCTAATTTCCATAATTTCCATGGTGAATAGTTTTCTGCCTATGCTTACAGTTATCATATACAATATGTTTGTGTGTCTGTGCGTAACGTAATGGAACTGTTATAGACAAAAAGAAAGCCAGTGAAGGCTTAATGCAATGCTTAGGTTTTTCAGTGCCTTAAATGGTTCTGGCACAATATGTGCTAATCTGAAACAAATTTGCTTATCCCCAACCTTAGCCAGAGAGCCCAAAGCGGCAATCAAAGTCTAAGCAAGGGAGACAATCAGGACAAGACTGCCAGGGATTTGCCTGTCAATGGGGCTTAGAAAGAACCAAAGGAATGCTCCCTCCCCCTGGTCACAGAATCAAAACTGCTTGTTGGAAAAACACACAAATTATGATTTGATTCAAATTTTGAAATGAAAATTGCCATCCTAAAAGAAGATTTTGTATTATTCAGGAATCAGCACTAGTGCATACAACGTCCAAGAACTACATCACGTGGCTATGCAATTATTGTTATGAATACTTATGGAATTTTTTACTTCTGCTTTTCAAAATTCATTGATTATCGACAGAGTGAAATGTGTGAAAATCATCATGAAAAACCCAAAGAAGAAAAGAGTAATTTTCATTAGACCTTTTGTAAAAATAATAATATGAAACCATTCAGAACGGCTACCATGGTTCAACACTGCTGCTTGTGAGTTGCGGTTTTGCGTACATCAAGCTTCAATGCATCGTGTTTCTCTCAGGATTGGCTCTGTTTGTGAGTGCCTCAGTGCCTGTGAGTCCATGTGCTAGGATATGAAGCCCCTCCCCCCATGTTGATATCCAATCACTATGAGCTTAAGTTGGGAGAAGCAGACAACATTTATGGCTTTAAAGTGATTGGGGAGAGGTTAGTTACTTAACAAAGAGACATTAAGAATGTTAGGGGATACATTTAAATTACATTATTATCAGATCTTATTGGGTGTTCGAGAACATAATTTTATTTCAGGAACACTTTAACTGAAAAAGCATTGCAGAGAAATCACACCCCATTGACATGGACACAGATCAAAACTGCCACATTCGAAACTTTAAAGGTAGTGCTTATAATTGGGCTCTTGCATTTGATTTTATTACATTCAATAAAAGTTCATGATAATGTTCGCACCCTCATTATGTATTAATTTAAACTATTTGCCTGCATAGAACAATGGGAAAGTGAAATGGGTTATAGTAGTATCCAGAGTTCTGGAAGATCTGTTCATTTATTCTCACACACAACTCACGTAGCGGAAAGCTGGAGCACCTCTGAGGCTTCAATAGAACATTTCATTCAATAGGTTAAATGATCTGCACAAATAATGCAAATCTGTGTTGAAATGTCTGGTCATATTATTGGGCAGTTAACTTTTCAAAGTCTTTCAGAATCCTAAACAGCATCCTAGACAATCTTAAAACTCAGATGCTCATGTCACCTTTTGTCAGCCAAAGCAAAATGTGAAATTATACTGTGAAGAACTCTCCATACAGTAGGTTAATCAGTTTTAAACAAATTCAATCTGAGTCTAGGTCTATTCTGAGTAGACTCAATATTATCAAAGCAAGGGTGTTTTTTTCATGATATAGCATTTATTAATCCTCTCATTGCTTAATATTGAAGCCATATTTAACTTGAAATTATTCTTATTTATAATATGAAGGAGATCTTGCCTAAAAGGTGGAGCTATTTTAAAAAAGAGGCCATCTACAGTGCACCTAAAATAAGTAAAGCAAATTTATAACCATTGTCAGAATTGTGTTCTGTACCTGACAGGGTTGCTGGTTAAGGACACTCGCAATGAGTCTAGACAGGCAACCAGGCGTTCGTCCATCACCCCGCACTTGAGCTCTCCCAGGAATTCCTGGGGAGATATTTGATGGCTGCTTCTCAAGTTACCCTGGAAGGAGAAGAAAAAAAATCCCTTTAGTGTAGTCAGGGAAAAAGTGATCAAAACAAAATCAGATGTTGAAGAAGTTTGTTCACTAAAAGAAAGAAACTGTTTTAACGGTTTTAAGAATCCCCCAAACAACAGAGGGCAAGTGTTCAAGAATGCATTTCCTGTCTATGAACCTTTCCCTTCGCCTTTCATTTGTTTTCTTCATTAGAGACGCAGCATCCATGTTTTGAGTAAATTCACTCAAAGAGCACTTTGGCAGCACAATGTTACAATGGACAAGAAAAAAACATTTGAACTAGTTTTCCCCAAACATTGTAAACAGAATCCCACAGCATCTTAACAATATAACTAAATACTTCTAGTACCAGTGTTTTTTGCCCTTTGCTTCACATGTTTCTTGAATTCATCTTTTAGTAAAAACAAGGTTTAGAATATGATTTAAAAGACAAAGATCAGTGACAGTATATGATTCAATGCATATTGCATCAGGCATAAGAAGAAACTGGTTACACATTTCATAAGATTAGTTGCAAATGTGTTTCTTTTCATTGCTTTAGATTTAAATAACAGGATGGTAATTTGTGCTTCTCAAACAAAATGATATTTCATCAATAGTAGCTCAAGTACAATGCCGTATATCAATAAATAATAGAGCCCAGCATGTAATCTGTATACTTTATGAGTTCAAGACTGCCTAGTTTTGCTTTTAAAAACTTTAGTTTAAGGGCAGTGAACAGGAAACCACAAAGGAAAAAATCTCATCAATACTTGGACTGTGTTCCATTATTTATTCACCACTGACAAATTAGATCAATGACTGCCAAATACAACAAGCACAGACTTTTAATGGCAACTGTTCCCTTAAATTGAGAGGGCTTGGACTATATGTTGTGTATGTTCAATCAGAAATTTAGTAAACATAGGTCCTGTCCAAGTGTCCAATCCTGTCGGCGTGTCAGGAGATTTTAATTATTAAGGAAGATACGCTATTGTGCCTCGTGAAAATATTCACTGAGTCTTTCTGATCGTTTCCGATGTTGTGGGAGTAATTCAGTGAAACATGAACTAAATCAGCCATCAACATATTTCATTTAGTGTCCTGTGTTTGTTCTATATGTTCATGTGCCAAATAAAAGGAGGGGCATTAAATGATCCCGCTGGAGTTTGGTCTATTAAAGAAAACACACTTCATACAGCCAGGTAAATAGCAACGCACCAGTCTGCAGGCAAACCTGGCTCTGAAAGGGAATGAGAGCTGACACCCTGATTGGTTTGATTTAAGTCACACCCAAAACACACCTATGTACAGTATAATCAATGGACTTAATACAAACACTTTGCGCTCTGCTCAAAGCTCTGCGTCCTGAATGTGCACTGCTTAAATATCAAAATACAGTCAGACACGGCACAAATAGTTGTGTGCGACAAGCTTTAGACAACGCCCTTTACACCGTCAAAATAGGGCCCAATATCTGGATTGTTTAAACCAGCCAATGTATCCCCCATGTCTAATAACAATCTACGGGTACATGCATCTGTACATTAGTGAATAAACCCACATAGAGCTGTTGTAAAGTGTGTAAAGACAGGGAAAGCTCAAACGTCTCTGGGTTTGTGAGTGGATGGGGTGGTGTAGAGAAAAAGCTAGACCACACTTGTGCCAAAACATCACACATCCTTGGATAATATTTTGAGTCATCAAAAGACTAAAAAATGAGCCTCTTTCAATTGCAGCAGGAATAAATAATCCCTAACCTATGAAAGCAGCCAATGGAACTCTGCCCAGTCTGTCTCTCCCTTAACACTTCCAGCATCGCTCTACAATATCAGTCTCAATTTATTATAAAAATAAAATTAGGTGTCAAAAACTCATTGAAAAAGAGCTCATCTCCAACCATCAAGTCAAGTCGACAATTATTTATATGTGTCATATTGCAAGTAATAGATGTGGATGAATTTGAATCCAAGATGTGTTTAATATTCCAAATAACTCTGCAGCTTTTGAAAGGGAAACTAACCAAACCAATACATCCACATGCATGTTGAAAGACAAAAACAAATATATGATTAAGACTTCAGCTCTAGGTCTGCTGTGATACAAAGTCACAACTGAATAGGTTCATATCCACTTTGAACTTCTTGAATAAGTGGTTCTATTGGGTATGTGCTCCAACCTCTACTGGATCTCAAAAAGGATCCCAAACAGGATTATGCCTCAACACCACAAGAAATATCAATTCACTCCGTCCCTATCAAGAAGTCCTATGAATCTTTCACTTTGCAACAACGACAACAATACCCTTCAGGGTTGTTATCATCATGGCTAAAAAGGCTGTGACTCCTTCTTGGCTTTGTCAGCCTTCGCTGACTCCTGCCGCTTTTGTCTCTTGCTCTGTCGTGAGTAACTGGAACAACGGACCCAATTTCACCAATTCCACCCACTCACTGGCAGCACAACAACCCATCAGCGATACAGTGAGTGTGTGCCTCTGTGCCTTTTCCTCTTCTGGCCCAATGGTCAAACGCCTCTCCTGTCCTGGAGAGACAAGATGATGACAAGCTTGTTTGTTTCCTGGGATCTCTAAGGCATTAAGCAGTCAGAGAACCATGAGTGCTGCTCATGACAGCAACCGGCAAAATCTTGCTGGGACTCTCTACTAAAGAAGCATTTGTGACATCATGTTTGCCCATTGCCGGTATCAGAGGAGCTGTGGACCTGCAACCCCAGCCCCATCATTTGCTGTAGAACCAGCCCAGGGGGGATGCCCCATGTGACCCTTTGGCCCCTTCATTTCAAAAAGCTGTCCATGTTCAAGTTACGTAGTGTAGGTTAGGGGTGAGACAAATACAATCGATTCACTAAAGTATCGAGATATATAATTGGACGATTTAAAAAATGTATTTTCTCCCCTGGGATCAATTATCGTGACGTCATATCCGTTCACAGGAAAAACAACCTTAGTGAACCGAGAGTTGCAGAAAGAGAAAAATTGCAGACAACGCATGCCTTGTTTTCTGGAAAGTCTTTCAAGTTATTAATGAAGATATAACTCTGTGTCATCCGCCAGTCTTTCTAAACCAGCTAATATATGAAGACAGATTATTAAATGGGGAAGTTAGCCATCTGTTGTTTCATCCTTACTGTAATAAGATAACCCTAGGCTAGTTGAGGTTATGTCAGTGTCATACAACCGTCTCACCTTTGTAAGATAGTAGGATATAGGTAGCTAAGGAGCTAATGAGCTGAAAAATGAACTGCTGAAGGGAAAGAAAGGAGTTCAGGGTTTTTCCTGGCTCAGAATGGGCCAATGGGGGTGACTATATGAGCTGTAGTAAACGTTTGACCCACGTATTACAGTATAGTCTGTGAGTCTGTATTACCTTATTTGACAAAAATCTGTGCACTTCCTGTTATTTCTGACCATTTTATAAACATATTATCATTATGCTTAAGTTACTGAAACCCCAATTAAATCTGGTAAAGAATTTGTTTTTATTGCAACAGTGAAACACGGGAGGAGTGGGATTTTGAGGGAGAGGGGTGAAATGAGATTGGGAGAGGGAAGGTCACATCCTACCAGTGCATTTCACCCTCTTCCTATGATGGCTGCTCTTTTCCTTTAAATTGTGTTTTCGTTTTACATACACATTTATTTGAGTTACTAAGGTATTATGTCAAATAATCACAGATTTAAGTCACAGATAATTTGGATCATTTGATCAGATCAGGAAATTGAGAAATAATAAAAATATATAACGCAGTGCTGTTTGACAGTCTGTGTGGAGAAGTTCACAGACTACAGCTGGCTAACGTTACGATCGTTAAGATATTGAATGTTAATAAAAGCAGACACGGTGGAAGTGCCCGACTCGGTCCATACAGATAGCGGATCAACCGTGTTCTGTTGCACATTTGCACTACAAGTAAACAGGTGCGGCCGGTGGTTGGCGTTCCTATGTGTGTGTGTGCGTTAGCAGCCATGTATGTTGGTGTGTCTCGTCTCAGCGTGCCCCCGCGATGACCCGTCTGCAGACAGCAGAGGAGCAGGGACAAGTAGCCGCAGCTAGCCTACATCATACGCGGTTTAGTATAGTTTTAACATGACTGTTGGGATAAATATTTACCGCCATAAAGTGGATTGCTCTTTGAAATTAACTCGCCAAACGGAAAATCAACCCGCTTGTGGGTGTCAGCGGAGTGTCCGGAACCAGTCAAAAGAAACGAACAGTCTATCAGCTGGCTATCCAGCGCGAGCCAGACGCGTAAACGGATGAGAGGGGAGATGACTACTAAATCAGAGACGTCGTATTTAAGTTTATGTTCTGCTTGTTCAACAGTTGTTTGATGTATTGATATTTTTAACATACATTCAGAGAGGATTTGATTTGCAATTTGAATCGTATTTTTTTTTCTTTTGGCGCTCATGATTTTCCTTTGGCGCTGGGTAAAACCTCTTTGGGGGGCTCCAAAGAATTCTCTATGCAGGAAAAACCCTGGAGTAGCCTGAGTGTTGAGTGTTTGATAGATAGTAAGAAAAAATACATGCTAAAAAAGCAAAGACTGATTGACTAACATGAGGTGTCCCTTTTTTGGGGAACTATAACTCGAGATACTCTACTTCCTCTTCTTTTGTATGATTTGGCTTTTGTTTTTAGAGGGAAAAAAATATTGCAAAAATGTAAACTATCACAACACTTGTTGTATCTCAATACTTCAGAATCGCAATGCAAATCAATTCAGCACCAAAAAATGGTAATTAAATCATATCAATCAAAAGCACTTTGTCCCAGCCCTAAAGTCAAGTGTAGTTGTTTCATTTAGAGTTATATTTAAAAAATCTAATGGACCTGAAATGAAATCGATTGTGCTCCCCTTCCACACATTGTATTCAACAGAACTCTTCACAAAGGTAAATCAAAAAACTTGCACTGCATTGCACCATTGTTGTCTACAGCGGTGGGATATGGTCAGATTTGCCTTCAAATGAGTATGAATCTTA